CACGGATACCTGATCCCATTGGGTCGGGGATTCCCCAGTTTGATCGGAGACGGGTCAAACCGATGATCTCAATCGGGTTCCCTGACGAGGATGGGGATTGGTCCCCCGACCCGTCCCTGACTCCATCCCGTTTAATTTTTTATTAATTATATATATATATATATAAATTAATAATAATAATATTTATTTAATTTTTATATTACTTTTATAATTCCTCAAGCCCATAAAACCCAATACTTCAAGTCTAATAAAAACTCTGTTTTAAAATTCAAACTTTTAACCTTAATTTTCTTTGTTTTAGATGGCATAACTTCAAAATTTGAGGTTTGAATTGTTGGATTAAAGTTTCATTCTTAATTAAAGATTCGTCGAATTGAAAACACCAATATCATAATTGTATTAAATTAAAATTTACACTATTCTATAAAACAAAAATTTATTTTTTTTAAGATTTAAAAATATATTAATAAATTAAAAAAAAAGAGAGGTCGGAGACGGGTTCCCCGTGGGGACCCCATCCCCGACCCCGCCCCCAAATTTTCAGGGATGGGGACGGGGATGGAGTGAAATTCCAGGACGGAGATGGGGATAACCCCTGGTCTCGCTCCGTTGTCAACCCTAATTTTAAGTCTTAAATTTCATATCATTAGATTTCATACTCTCTCTCAATCTTTTATTCAAATATTTATAGCTAGTTCTTCTAAAAAGAATATACACACACTTACATTTATAACATTTATAGCTAGTGAAAAATATTATGGTAATTGTGTTGAGTAGCAAAATTATTTTATATATTTGAAAAAATGTTGCGATGTTTTCAATTTTTCAAATATAATAAAATATTAGAAGGGTTATTTTTTAATTCATATTTTACCATTTCCATTTTTCTTTTCCCAATCTCTCGCAATTTCTTCTTCTTTGCAGGAATTCGTCTCCGTGTCGTAGTTTCAACTCCGTGAAAACATTGACACAAACATCACTAGGAAAGAGAGCTACAACGACGATGAAGGCCAAGAAGGTAGCCGCGAAGAAACAGAAGACTATAAAGTCGAGGCGACAAAAGTCGAGAAATAAATGTAGGTTTGATTGAATTCTACGGTTTGTTACTTACTAATTTCTCTTTCCCTCGTAGCCATATAAAAGATGGCAAATAAGATGCAATTGTTGCAATACACTATTTCTATTAATATTCAATTTGATAAATTAAAGAGTTTATCAAATCAATCGTCTTTTCAGATAGTGATTTTTGAAATAGCTTGAGATTTCGAAAATTGTAGAAATATGAAGTGAAGCATGGAATTGAATCAGTACTATATCAATAGTAAATCTCATATAAGAAGTTATATCAGTAGATATCATAGTTATATTAAAAATAAATGAACTATATATTAGATGTATTTTCAATATATATAAGAGTTATATAAGTGGTAAATCGATCAATAATAAATCATATAATAATATGGGCAAAAGTTATATTAGTAGATATCATAGTTATATTAGTTGTATATCAATAACTTTAGATTTCATTTTCTTTGTTTGCACCATTGTTTTCATCTAAAAAAAAGTTAGTGGATATATATAATAGTTACATCAGTACATATCATAGTTATATTTGAGTTATTATATCAGTGGTAAATTAGAGACATTTCAAGTATAGATCACAAATATACCAGTGGTAAATCATATAATAAGTTATATTAGTAGATATTATTGTTATATTAGTGATATATTAGTTGTGTATCAATAGTAAATCAAAGACATATCCAGTATATACACAGATACATATGTGTTATAAAAATGGTAAATCATATAATTAATTATATCATAACTTATATCAATAGAAATCATAGTTATATCATATGTATATAAGTGATAAAAAAAATGGTAAATCATATTAGAA